CTTCAAATGTTCATGGTCAACACGTAAACGAAAGGTTCCATTGCCAGGGGTCGAGACTGCGAAAGAGGTATCTTCCAAAGAGCCAGAGTGCCAGGCTTTGTCGGACGAGCCAAAGCATGATGATTTGGCGAGCTATCAAAGAGCTGTGCGGCAATACGATACTCTGATGCAGGAGCTACTATCGAACCTCGATCAGAGCCAGAAAGGAACTCTGAATGCCAGTCTTCACACAATCCGCCGACAGCTGCCTGTTAATGTCACCGATTCAAGCCTGCATCAGCCTTCCTCAACCCGAGAACCGAGCACTGTCTCCAGCGATGCGGGCGTGGATTCACCCGCCACCTACGTGGGCAAGGCCAGCGATATTCATTTCATCCATCGCATTCGCCAGTGCTATCAGACTGGAGCTTGGACTGCAAGAGAGCCTTCGCCAGCCGACAACTATTCTCAGACGCATACCATCAAGAGCTTGGCCGGGTTAACCCAGCCTCTCCTCATTCCGACTCCAGCCGAAGCCCAAGGCTTCATAGATGTTTATCTCTCCACTATTCATGTCGCTTACCCGTTTCTCTGCAGAGATATTCTCCTCGAGCAGTTTCACATCTTCCAGACCGGTGATTACGCGTACCAGGAATTCGAGCCCTGGCTTGCATTGTTTAGTAAGACCATGTATTCGATGGGTCTGCACTGCTTCTGACAGCTAGATAGACTTTATCTTCGCCATCGGCTCCTACTACACCTCTTTTCCACATCAATCTGGAACAGCGTCTTTGGATCATCTGCGATACTTTGAACAAGGTGTCTACTTTTCGCGGGAACTGGGCGCAACCTGTTCCTTGCTGAGTGTATGGGCCTTGATAGTGCAATGCTTTTTTCTGCTGGCGATATGCCACACGGATAGGTAAGTTCCATTGTGGTCAAGGTTTGAGATCGATAACTCATCGCAAGGACCAGGTGCTGGAACACACTAGGCTTTGCCATCCGCATGGGTCAAAGCATCGGTCTTCATGTCGAATCGTCCCCCAATCACGCCCGCACATCATGGATGGCCGACCGGGCGCACTGGCGGCGAACCTGGTACTCGATGTATGTTCTCGATCGACTCCTTGCGCTTCAACTCGGCCGTCCAATGGCCATCCACGAAAGCGAATTCCAAGTGGAGATGCCCTCGGTTTCCGACCCCTCCCCGTTTGGCCAGAATGCAACTGTGTCCACGGAGTCAATTACGGCAAACAGAGACACCTCGACCTGCTTTCTTATGGACTACTTTCTCGCCGTCATTCGGTTTTCTTACTTGGTGGGTGCAGTCATTCGGGAGTTGTACCGGCCCTCGCAGATCGACGTGGCGCCGGACGTGATGCTCAACACTTCGTCGGCTCTAGATCAACGGCTCGGCGAATGGAAGAAGGGACTGCCACGACATCTGCGATTTGATCTGGGCCATACCTTCGAGAGCTCGGTCACTTTCAAGCGACAGGTGTGTAGCACCCTTTAAGCTGCAACCTTGACTAACGCAGGACAGCGCAACATGCTCGCCGTGAAATATCACCATTTACGCGCTTTGATCCACCGACCTTTTCTATGTCTTCCTCTCCTGCAGACCAATAATCATCCGTTCATGGAACTGCTGCGACGGGACAAACATAGAATCGCCCAGGCCGAATCCATATGCGTCCAGGAAGCACGGCAGACAGCGCAGCTCCTTCACAATCTGGTCGACGAGCGCAGTCTGGTGCATGACTTTCCCTGGTGGCAGATGATCTCTTGTTTAATTTGCGCCAGCTCGATTCTCTTTGTTGCCGAAGCGTTCTGCCCCAACCAAGACTCGTTTTATAGCACCGCATCTGCGCAGGATCTGCGAGAAGATGCCGAGACCTGCTTGAAGGTCTTCGAGGCGCTGAGTGCCAACTCAGCTGCTGCACGTAAAGCGGCTGAGATGTTGAAAGCGCTGTCAAGCCTCCATCATTCCATCCATAAAGGTGTGTACCAAGTTGTACTCCGGTCGGGTGGGTATCGCTTCTCACCTTCTATACCTATAGCACCATCAGCAGTCGTAGAGTCTACCTCACAGCCATTATCGCTTCTACCACAAGCCCTCAGCGACACAGACCCTGCTCTTAATCTCGACTCAGCCTCGTTCACGTCGTCACACATTATGCCAGACGATCTCCAATTCCCCGGGGAGTGGCCTAGTGAGATTTCCAGCGCGATGGCGTGGTCGGTGCAGTTTTTCGACCAGCCTTCGTCTCGGGTTGCAGACTTCCCTTCTGGTCCCGAAGAGCATTCCTTTCCATGAAAGGCGACTGTTGTATCAGTTGTCCTATTCATATGCATAAGGATGATAGCACAGCGGGGGGGGGGGGGGGGATGCGGTGGATCCACTTTCTGCCTTAGGCATAAATCCAGCTTCACCAACCAATCGCCCGACTCGATCGCTGCAGTCCACGTCCGATTCTCAGCCACAGCACTTCAATAGCTCCGCATATGTTGGCCACCCTAGGTCTAGCTCGCATCCAGACCTGGACCGATCAGGTGGGGTTGAGCGAGGCACGGCGTACTCCGTGGATAGTGGCTTGTGGTCACCCCCTTAACTAGCCCTAATGCGGTAGGGTCCTCGCTACGATTTTCCCCAGCTTGTTTTCAGCTCCAAGGCTTGAGAAGTTGAGAAGCCTCTGTCTCCACCCCAATTCTCGGTCAACTTATCGATAGGCTCAGACTGATCTGGATCCCCCAAGAAGAGCTGTTCCACAATGCTGGGAGTGCGGCCATTGCGGCCATTGCGGCCATCTGACGCCACCGAACCCCAATTGCCTTTAAATAACAATTGCTGTTCTTCCTGTATCGCCGCCAGGCTGACGACGTCCGAGATTCGATTTTTCTTTCGTGATCGTTCTTGCTGGCATTCGCTGTCTGTCTTTTCTGTCCATGCCATTGTGAGTCTCCAAGGCTCCTACTGAGCCCTTGCCATTCTTTGAACATCAATCGTTACCGTTCCCACCATGAAGGACTTCTCAGTAGCCAGTGGGCTGCTTCTCCTCTCAGCCTTGGCCCCTGCCAGTCTGGCAGCCACAATTGCTCTTCCGGCTGCTGGTGCTCCCAGTGTGTCCATCGCCACCGTGACTTCGACCTATCCCACCACCGTCACCAATGTAGTCACCAGCTCTTCAGCGGTGGTCACCACCAATGTTGTCTGTGCCACTGGCACGGCTTCTCTCGGCTCCGGCACGTCATGCTCCGATTATGCATGGTCCTCCGCCGGTGTCTACTATCGTGAGATGTGTGACGGCTCCTCCATCACTGGGGCAACCACCCGAGCTGTGATGAACGTTTACAGTCGCCAGGCAAATATCAATGGCTGTGAAGTGTATTGTCGCATCTTCAACGGCTTGTGTAATGCCGTCAATTACAACCCGGCAGCGAGCAGTTGTCAGTACCTGTGGGCCACCGGCAATGCCGTGGTCTCTGCCTCGGGCTATCAGGCGCTCAGTACTTACTCCACCAACCCATGCACGGAGACGGTCACGGCCATGGAGACTGAGTATTTGACCGAGTATGTGACCAGCCAGGCCACTACCGTTTATACGGTGACGGTGACGGTCCCGACCAGCTCGGCGACATCGACCGTCGTCTCGTCCACTCCTTCTCCGGTGTCCTTAACCGTTACTCCAACCGCTGTGATGCCGTCGAGTGTGGCGTCGGCCTCACCTGTGGTTCCTTCATCGATTATCATTCCTTCTTCGATTCCTTCGGTCCCTTCGGCTTCTTCGGCCCCTTCTTCAGCCCCTTCTTCAGCCCCTTCTTCAGCTCCTTCTTCAGCTCCTTCTTCAGCTCCTTCTTCAGCTCCTTCTTCGGCTCCTTCTTCAGCCCCTTCTTCAGCCCCTTCTTCAGCCCCTTCTTCAGCCCCTTCTTCAGCTCCTTCTTCAGCTTCTTCCTCGGCTCCTTCAGCTTCTTCGGCTCCCTCTTCAATTCCCTCGTCGATTCGCCCTTCGATCCCCTCGTCGATTCGCCCATCGATCCCCTCCTCCATTCCCTCCTCCATCCCAGCTTCCGCTCCTTCGCTATCCCGCTCCACCCCCGTCGTGGCTCCCAGCCCCAGTGCCGGCTCCTCTTCCCTCTCCTCTCAGCCACTCAGCTCGCCCACACCCCTGACGCGGTCATCCTCCGCCCTCATCCCGCAGCAGCCATCCTCCGCTCCCTCGCCGCCCGCGCGGGTCTCTTCTTCATCGGTGATCCCAGTCCCCGTTCAGTCCCCTGGCAGTGCTCTCTCCTCCACTCCAGCCCAACGCCCCACTCAACCCTCGCTGATCCCATCGGCCGCGTCGACCTCATCCGTGGCGGTAGTCGCTCCTCCCCACACCACCGAGCCCCCGACTCCTTCCGGGAAAGGCGACGAGGACGTGGTGACGTCGACGGTTCTGGCTACAGTCACGGTCACTGTTTTGTCTGACTGTGATCAAGAACGGGTCTACTGATGATCGGGTCACACTTTAAATCTTGATGGCTGCGATGGTTAACGGGATGCTATGACGTCCTGGCAGAATAAGACTAATTCTATATGATTATAATGATGATAACCTCTACAAGTCACAAACACTGCGTAGCTTCTACTACCATACCGCGAGGGGGCTGGTTTCGATTAAGTGTCGCCCGGTAAATGCGATCATGGAGATACATGCAGTCGAGTAGAATAAAAGCGCATAATATCGAACGCTGATATGTTAAACCTTCGAGCTTAAGCAGAAATCGCTGACGCAAGTGGAAGAAGAAGAAGAAGTAGAAGGAGTGGGTTTCATTCTCATTAGGGTGGTGCAAAAGTGTTCAGCAAGAAGAGAATTGACCCAGGATACAAACAAAGTGGTGTGCAGAAAACAATAGCATTCCAGCCCGCACAAAAAGGAAAAAATGAACAATGCCGCCAGAGAACCCGCTAGGCTCTTCTCGGTAAGGTATGCCTTTGTTGACAAGGCAGGCAGGCCAGCAACAAATTGAACAAAAAGAAATGACAAGAGTGGGATTCGAACCCACGCCACTTGCGTGACTGCAATGCTCTTCAGATGTGATCTGGAGAAGGAATAGAAGAGTCCTTGAGTGCAGCGCCTTAGACCGCTCGGCCATCTTGCCTTGTTGTATGGTAGCCCTGATAATGTGTAATATGACAGCACTTTGCAAGCGAGCACGACACCCCCATCGTGCTCATCATGATTGTTAACCACAATTGGTCTGCTTAGGATGTACCTAGACACAGAGAAGAGAAAGCAGTTCTATATCTCAGACACTTCGCAATTGAGCTCATTCACTTCGAGATCTGGCATATGTCCATACCCAACTCCCCTACCACAACCGCTTCCACCTCACCCTCATATCCCGATCCGGCGGAATCCCCACGGCCCCGATGAGCGACTGATCGTTCTGCGCCGGTCGATCCGACTTGGTTCCATCCGGATGGATCCAGTCGATCAACTCGATCTCAAACCGAGTCACGAGAGCCGCGATTGTCATCAGGATCTCCTGCTTGGCGAATACCCGACCGGGGCAAATGGACGGCCCGCCACCTATATATATCCGTCAACATAAGCCCGGATGCAATGCAATCTTTTCAGCTGTTGCAGGGACCTACCAAACGGAAAGAACGAACTCGTCTTGCCCGTCATCGTAAACTCGGGCTTCTCACTTTCACGCTTGAGGTTGCGATGGCCCCAGAACTCCGAGGCCGGATGGCCTGGCGCACTCCACACTCTCTCGTTGTACTGGCCGATCTGGCTCGGGGCCTGGATCAACGACCCCGGCGTCAAGAGGAACCCGTCCAGGGTGATGGGCTGGGTGACCTCGCGGGTAACGTTGATTGACACATGTAGGCGCAGGGTCTCGATGTACACGGACTGCAGCAGGGGCATGGCGAACAGCTTCTGGGGATCGAAGCCGCGCTGGCCGGTGACGGGGTCGGTCGTGCTGGCCGCCAGACACTCGTCGCGCACGGCGTGGTACAGCGCCGGGTCGGCGACCAGATGCATCAGGGCCCAGGTGGACATGGGGACGGAGTTGGCGTTGGTCCCGAAGATGAAGGTGGCCACCATGCCCGCCGTCGTCTCCGGCGACAGATTCTCCGTCGCCCACTTGACCAGCTCGCGTGCCATCCGCGAGCCGTACTGTGGCTCCCACTCCGCGTCAGCCTCGGGTCCCGTTGGGTTAAAAGCCTTGGCTGCAGCATCGATATACCGGCGACACATCGCCTGAAACTCCGCCTGCGTCTTCCACGGGCCCGGGTTCATCCACCGCGGCAGCCCCCACATCAGCTGCGGCGCGATGCGCGCAAACTCCCACATCATCGGCCAGAAGCCCGGGTTGAGCTCGACGAGGCGCGGGCCCATCAGCGCCTCCAGGGCTGCCTCGGCCATCTCGCTCTCGAAGAACTCACACAGCTGGACCTCGCGCCACTCGTTCAGGGGATGCTGGACGAGTCGATCCGAAAAGAGGTCGAAGTACTTGGTAGTCAGGAAGTTGGCCCGGTCGGTGCGCTGCAGGAACTCCGAGTAGATATGGTGTTGGCCGTGCCAGAGACGCGGCTCGCCGGGAGGGAGTTCGTGGCCGGGGATGGGGTTCTTGCGACGCCCGGACTTGTCCTGGCGGAATTTCACCAGTTCGGTGGGTTTGGCGCCCCAGACGTTGGCCATCACGTCGAGGAAGAAGACCTCCGGGCTGATGCTGTGCGAGGGGGTGTTGATCGCTTGGATGTTCTTCTCGCCCGAGACCATGTAGATCTTCTTGGGGCCGAGGCGGAACTGGATGATGTTGCTGCGGCGCTGGGCGGATCTGGACGGAGTTAGTGAATGGATGCTGAGATAGAAATGATGGCGAGACTGACGCCACTCGCTGCAGGAAGCCATGCATGTCGGTCATGTATTGGTAGGTGTTGGTGATCATCCACCCGGACAGGGAGGGGGGTTCCTTGCCTCCATGGGGTTTGAACTGCCTGAAGATGACGGCCAGCACGAGGCCGAGCGCGATTCCGGAGTAGAGAAACATGGCGTTGCGTTGATGATACGGTTCCCAGCAGGGGGAGGGGGATGTGGTACGAACGAGACTCGTTGCGGGGTGGCCTCCCTTTATGTGCGAAATCAGCAGAACGTGCATGATCGACGCGCCACAGCCTCGTTTTGTGCGTCCATTCAGCTCCGGAAGATACTCCGGTCTTCGGTCATAAAAAGTACCCTGGAAAAGCCGATCATTCGGAGACGCTGTGGTACAAAACCTCCGACTGGACGACGACCCTCGGAATTAGCCCTAACTCTTCACCCTCATCTTCTACCTTTAATACACCACGTAAAACACAGACACAACCAGCAAGCCATTCCTCACCACCACAGTCCCTGCCCTTCAGAATGACACACCTCACGCAAACCGCCATCGTCCAAACCCCCAAGGACAGCGACAACCCAACGCGCCTACCCCTTACCATCTCCCCAACTGCCCCAGTCCCCTCCCCGCAATCCCCGCACCATGTCCTCGTTCGCATCCTGGCCATCGCCCTGAACCCCAACGACCACAAGATGGTCACCTACTTCAACAAACCCGGCAGCATTGCCGGCTGCGACCTCAGCGGCATCATCGAGACCCCCCACCCAGATCACCCGGACCTGCCCGTCGGCACGCGCGTGTGCGGGGCCTTGTTCCCCTACAACCCCACCGACAAGGGCGACAACGGCTCCTTCGCGCAGTACTGCACCGTCGACGCGCGACTGCTGGTGAAGGTGCCCTCGCACTGGAGCGACACCGAGGCAGCAGCGCTGGGCGTCGCGTGGTCGACGATCTCGCTGGCGCTCAGCGATCCGCATGCTTTGGGGCTGGAGGGATTGCCCTCGCGGCCGGTGCATCAAGCCGGCGAGCCGGTCGTGGTGTACGGCGGCGCGACTGCATCCGGGACGTTCGCGTGCCAGATGCTTAACCTGTGCTTCTCCCCACCCTGGTCCTTCCTTGGTTTCCTTGATGCGAGTTTCTAACCAGAGCGTAAGCTGACGAGTGAAAAAGAATGGGCTACACCCCCCTAGCAATAACATCCCCACAATCCGCCCCGCTGGCTCTGTCCTACGGCGCCAAGGGCACCGCATCCTACACGGCCAAAGACTGCGTGGCCACGATCCAAGCCCTCGCCGGTAAGCCCATCCGGTATGTACTCGACTGCATCACGGACGCCGACTCCACGGCGCTGTGCTACGGCCTTCTAGCCCGCACGGGCGGCGTCTACGCCTGTCTCGAGGAGTGTCCCGCCGCGTGGCGGACCCGACGCGCCGTCCGCGTCAAGGAGGTGATGGGATTCCAGGTGCTGGGTACTGATCTCAATCTCGGGGAGTCGGCGTACACCCGTCCAGGGGATCCGGCGTTGCTGGCGATCGGGATGCAGTGGGCGAAGGAGGTGGAGGGGTTGATGGCGCGGCGCGAGATCAAACCGCATCCGTTGCGGGAGTTGAGCGGCGGGTGGGAGAGGATTATTGAGGGACTGGAGATGTTGAGGAAGGGGGAGATCAGGGGGGAGAAGCTTGTCGTGCGGATTCCGCAATAGACAGCATCGCATTCGAGGGAGACGGGTTTAGAAGTATGGGTGCTTGTTCATGTAAACTCAACAGTGCAGTCTGATTCTGTCTATAAAGGCAGGCAAGCAATCAAGGCAGATCAATAGCATCGAACTGCGCCCAGAAATCCTTCTTCCAGGCATTCACCAACTTCGTGACCGTCGGATTCCCAAAGGGCGCCTGCTGCGTGGCAAAGAACCCGGCCACGCCCTTCTCACGATTCGCCCACCAGACGACATTCGAGGCCCCTCCCCAGGCCAGCATGCCCCCGGGCTGTCCTATCTCCGGCACCGGACCCACGCACAGCAATCCCCCCAGCCCGTGGTTGACCGCATCCTCTGCAATCGGGCCCGCAACGGTATCCCACGCCGGCCGCAGCCCCAGCAGCATCTGCACGCCATTCGACCCCTTCTCCAACTGTGGGACAAACATCTCCGCGATGGTCGCACGAGTCAACAGCTTGGGTGTATCAGACACGAGGTCCGCGAGCACAGCCAGGAAATCCCCCGTCGAGGCCGCCAGCCCGCTCCCGCCCTCCTGGTCCTCGGGGTTATCGAACGCCCAGCGCTCCAGCGGCGCCAATTTCCCGTCCTGTGTCCGCACCGCCCCCTGCAGGATCTGGGCATGATACTCGGGATGGAGCATGATATTGAACCGAGGGAACGGGGCCACCCGCCCCAGAGGCTTGAAGATATGCTCGACGAAGTAATCGCCCAGGGAGATGTCCCCGTGCAGCCGACTGACCACCATCCCCGCCCAGTCCAGACTACACCCGTACAGCCACCCGGTCCCCGGCTCGAACACCAGGGGCATCTTATATCGCTCCGTGATTTTCAGGGAGGGGGGCTCCGTGCGCGCCTCCGCCCGCAGCCGGAGCAGGCGGTGGGTGAATCTGTACCCCAACCCCGAGGTATGCGTGAGGAGGTGGCGCGCGGTGATCGGGACGGTGCTGGGGGCGAAGGTGAACTGGCCGTCAACGACGTCCGTCAGAATTTCGATGTCCGCGAGTTCCGGGAGGATGCTGGTGAGGGGTTGGTCGAGGCCGATGAGCTTTTTGTCCACGCATTGGAGGAGGGCGATGCTTGTGATCAGCTTGGTGGCGCTGCCGAGTTTGAGGACCGCGTTCTCGTCCACGGGTGGGCTGTCGGGGGCGAGTGAGGTGTAGCCTGCTACTTTGCTGTAGATTTCGGTTCCTGTCGGAGTGAAGAGTTAGGGTAGGATACAGAAAAAGCAACGAGGGGTGTAGGGGTGGGCGCCGGTACCGGCTCGGTCGACGCATTTGCAGATCACGCCGTGGACTTGGGGGTTGGCTTGGGCGGTGTATTCGGCCAGGAGGGCGTCGAATTCGGTCATTTTGGTGTCTCGTCTGGTATCCCGGGAATTAATGTTGAGAATATGGCATAGCAGAAGGGGATGGGTAGTAGCAGCAGAGGAAAGTCCGATATGGTGGAGGATTGTGGGTTTGCTGTGAGAGAAAAAGTGGTGAGGGGCAGAGCAGAAGAGAACGAGAGTCAGACAGTCAAAGTGAGGCGGGGAACAGCGAAGATCCCTGCT